GGGGGGGGGGGGGGGTTCTGCTGGTCAGTGATGAGGTTTGATGGTAAGGTGAACTTTATAGGAGGATTGGGTTGTGAATGATGTGAATGCTCTTCGGTTGGATCGGATGAAGTGGAAATTTTAAAGAGGAGAAAGTACAACCCTACACACTAAACTAAGGCCATAAGGGCACTAGTATCGTGTGTTAAACGTGAACAGGCATGATGGAATGAGGGGAAATCATTTAGTGCACTGTCATCATTCGGTACCAATCCCACAAATGAGGGTTTTCTAAAGTACTTCGTCTTACAGCAGTTTCTGTACTATATCTGTTAAAACAATAAAGTATAACACGACGAGCGTGGGATTTTGTATGCAGTTCAAATACAGATAATTTATCTATTATCTTTGAATATATTGGCTTCTTGTCAAGTTCACCTCCGGATCTGTCAGCTTACACCTAATTACAATTCTTCGGTATTTAGTATTTTGTCCAAAGGGATTCACGCGAGTACTTTTCCTCCACATACTCGGAGTGCGGCTAAACTGCGGTGGTGGAGTAAACCGTGGTTTGAAGCTAGCAGTTTTGACCCCTGTGCAATATTTGTTCAGTTTAATTGAACCTAAAGTACCTAGAGACAAGGCAGAATTTCCGTTTGAAAAAATTGCCACTTCTTTTTATAAGTGAAACGCGTCAACCATTGGATTCTACCACTGTCTCTTCGTATGCATTTAGTTACCTGCAGGTACAATAAATCGTGGGTATACACTCTCGCTTCCTGATTTTACAATTTCGAAGTAGAGTTAAACCCCATCAGTTTTGAGACTGACACCAAAATGTCTATGTTTATTTTTTATGACACTTGTATGATAACCAGCAGACAGACTGAACCCCATGGTCACGGAGACCTGCTCTTCAGTGAGGGGAACCGGTTACCTGAGCCCCAGACTTGGAGTGTTGAACCACATAGAGTCCGGCTAGGTCAGGCGTGGTATTATTACTAAGTGGTTTCCTGGTCCATGTGTTTGTATCGGACAGGCGCAGACGCGTATGAATAGTAACGCACTCTTTCGTAACATCAGACCTGTTGCAACAGGAGCATTCCCTTTGGTTTTATATTGGGCCTGGTAGCAACACCTCTGCCGTATCTGATTAACTGTGTGCGTAAGCAAACAACCATTGCCCACGGAATCGGTTTGATGAGTGAGAGGAAGCCAACAACGAAAGCGGAAATATTCTGATTTCGAGCAGCAACAGGGTGGGATTCACGAATATATGTGCAATTGGACTAGGTAGAAAAGGTTGATATCCGTTCTCTGACCATTCGAGAGACTGTTAAAACACGGTATCGTAGGCAGTGTTGCTTCGTCAGGTGCCAAAACACACAGAGCCCCATACCCTATGTAGGTAGCTGTAGACAAAAAAGTGCCGGAGAAGAAGCTTCATTCTGGCTTATAACCATTGAAACCAACTCTTCAGAAGATGACGCCAAATAGGTTAAAAGTATGAAGAAGAAATATAGAATATGGGTCTAAATCAGTGTTTTGTGTAATTTCCAACGCAAAATAAAAAGTATACATTCAAGAGACATAGTTTTGATGTCTTACTTTGGTGACCCCAGATACATATCCGTTCTATATTATATACTCAAGCCTGTCTCTTTACTCCCTCTTCTCTATCTGTCATATTCATCCACCACTAAAGACCATCCGGCGGTGTGTCAACGGACAAGGATCGTGAACCAGCGGAACGAAGTACCGGTGGTCTACAATCGCCATCCAAACCGATCACACTGATCGCGTGTCATCGGAATTTGCTTGCTGTGGCCTATCAGGACCAAGTCGGACTGTTCTTGTGAGTGATATTATATATATATATATTATATATATTATATATTATATATATATGGTCATATTGTTGATTCATGCAACCATTACAAATAAAATAATTTGAAAAGTTTCATTTCAGCTCAATTCTGTATGCTGTTAGAAAGGAATAGAAAATTGATAGCTCAGATGGACTGCATTCATAGTCCCTTGCTCGTCGAGCTTGGCAATTTGTTCATACGCTTTTTATCACCAAGATGACATGTTTATTGCTTCTTGAGTAGCTATTTCATGTGACTGAATCAGCAATTTGACTCATTGTTTATGGCAGTTGCTTGTGTCAGAAACGGATTTTGATCCGGTTTATCGGTGGGGCTTTGTCGTGCGAGACAGTCCTGTTCTAATCATCCTTTCGGTCGGTCGATTGGAGTTGCACCAGCAGCATGCGTAAGCAGTCATGACCTTTCGTTCTCAAATTGTACTGACAGTTTTCCCATTTCGACTGGATAGCTCTTCACTTTAATGCTAACCAATCTTACGATGACACTGCCTCCCAAATCGCGACATTAATAAGCTTTCAGAACTAATCAGTTTAACTGTGTTCATTTTAATGAGCTCATAAAAGATTGTTTTCTTTGGTTCTGTGTTGAAATTTCTATTGAAAACATGCAGAATCATATTGAAGTCAAATGAGATACATCTTAGTAGACATTTAGCAGTTCGCTTTTAACTCACATTTATTCGCGGGTAGTTTTGTGGGATACTTGATATGAATCGATTGGAACTGACCATCTTTCAGACTTCAGCTCAAACACATTCGTTGGCTCTTCTTATCAATCATTCACAAGGAAACTCGAGTTTCGCTCCTATTAGAGCTCCTCTATAGTGTATATCCAACATCTATCAACCAGCTCATGCCAAGGCTGAACCGGATTGTCCATTCATGTTTGTTCGGTTGTCGTCACTCAATTCAATTTGGCCTGACAGCAACGAAGGGAGATGGATGCAATGGGTCCGGAGTTCAAATTCTGGACGTGACAGAGGATATGCATTATTGGTGAGCTCTAATAAGAGCGAAATTCAAGTCTAGTGTTTCCTAGTGTATGGCTGACTTGAAGAGCTGAGGAATGTGTGTGAAGGTGAGGTCTGAAGGATGGTCAGTCTCAGACAATCAATACACACTTAGTCTGTAGTTCATCTATGAAACCGGAATGGAATCGCTATCTGCACTGACCTTACTAAATATCGTCGCCCATGCAAAGTTTCTCGTCATGTTACTCAAAAGGTCGACTCACCCTCTGAGACCATCTAGATGAAAAACATCACTCTGTTTTCGTGCAAACATTTCTACCGACATCTTATGTTAGACGTTCATGTTCACCTTCTACCTTCATAATCCTTCTTAGAATTTTCGTAAAAGGTAGTTTAGTGTCTTTTCAGGGTTGTAAAACTTCGTTTTATATCGTTTATTCTTTCCCTCTTTTTGTTCATTTTGTAGTTTGCGCGATCCCATCGGATGGCATCTAGTGTGGCTTAGTCCACCACTTCCTGCTCCAATCGACCGTCTAGCACTCACTTCCAAAGCTCCACATCCTGTTTCGCTTCCCACCACAGCGATCAGTAGTGTGACCAACTCCACCGGTGCATCTGTATCTCCACCGGTTAATTTTCCCAATAATCCATTCACGGCTTCCACCATGACCCAGTCTAACTCAAGCCAATCCTCCACTGTTCAAGTTTCCGGAGCCAGCGTGAATCCGAATACCAGTTTCGGTGTCGGATCCACTCTGGTTACATCATCGACTGTAACAACCACTTCCCTGAGTCCAGTATCATCTAATCCCTGTACGACTGCCATACACCAGCCGGTTCTTCCAACTGGATTGAGCCTATCGGTTCAACCTTCGAATCGTAACAACGCAGGCTGTCTTGTGGCTGCCACAATCGGTTCGACTATCACATTATGGTGTGTTAATTCTCCATATGGGGCTTCCACACCGGTGATTCCCTGTGCCATGGGGGCCGGTGGCGCTCCTAGCAGTAGCGGTGGTGGTGTGTTTGGTGTCGGTGGGTTTGACGCCTCAGTTGCCTCCAATAAGTTGTATTTGTGCACTTTGACACGTTTCTCACCGGATGCTGCTCCTGGTCAGCCGGGGCATTACTCAGCCCTGCCACGTGCGAAACAACCCTGGCCTAGCGAGCTTGTAAGTCCTCATGATTACCGTACATCCGTTAGCCGTTATCCTTATTCACTCGCTTTGCAAACTTTTAAGTTCTTTGTTTTCTTTTTCCAAATAATTTACTTTCTTCGTAATATACTACTAAGTTCATCGAGCTCTCGTTTCTCAGTTTGGTTAAGTGCACCATAGACGGTCACAAATGCCCCACTCGCTACACAGTGCTCTATTTTTCGGTGGAGTGGAGTGAGAGGGAGGGATTAAGATTGGTGATTACCCCCACCCTCTCCCGTTCTTTGTGTTACTGTGTCGTGTTGTGCGTTGTGATTAACAATCATGTCTTCATTTCACGGTAGCTATCTCACTGACTATATAAAATGACTTTGACTGCAGTATGCACGTGTACAGATGCAGCGAAATGACCATGGATACATTGTGCAAACCCATGTTTCTGGCTTCTCTATTCAGGATTGAGAAGAGTTGATCAAACAATGCACTATGAAACGATATGCTCAGTCATCCAGAATAACCTTTAATAATACTGATAACTACAACTTTTACTCACATTTCCTACGATGTTTACTCGCCTGATTCCCTATACTTGAAGTATCACCGAATCTACAGAAAAGAACGAGTGCCTTGACAGGTTTTATCTACGTGTCTTTTACAGTGGTGGATTATTTTAGAAGGATCATATTTCTCTTTTTGACCGTTTACATCAGTGTTTTCCCGTTTTTTTAATGTCTGGAAACAGGCTGCACTTTGTTCTGTGCGCCTGAAGGCTATTATCTTCACTCACAGAACAGTTATTTTTCAAGGATAAATACATCAATATTCATCGAGGCGTAAGAACCACGCACACAACTTCCTGGTCGTGGTAATGGTGACCGGCTCGAATGGGTGTCGACGTGTACTGGGCATCTTGGACTTCTGATCCCGTCGGATAACCTGGACAATGGATTGCGGTTTTCACACACCACCTCACTGCCTTGCAGGTCAGGCTTTGGTTAGCTGAAAGCTCCGGCTGTGAACTCCCCAAGAAAATTCACCTGCTTTGATCTGGATATCCTAGCAGTATCATGCCCTCGAGCACATCATGGACCTTTTTCTCTTTTTTGTATGTATTATTGTACCATGATTTGGCACAATCTGAACTGAGACGTGTATGAAAACAACTAATAATAATTGATGCGCCTCTCAGTGATTCATTGTCAACTAACCTCGGTACGTTCGGACGTTTCCAAACATAAAGGGTCATACTGGTTATAACCTATTTTCTTTGAAACGCCCAAGCTTCACTAGAATGTGCATTGTTCTTGGTTATGTTTCCGTGTTAATCATCGGTATGCCCTACTCACCGCCTTCTGGTGGCGGAGATGTTATCCCACCACAGTGAGAGAACGCAAAACTGACATCCGGGGTTATAACCGGGTTGGTGGACCACTGGTAGTTCACCTAGGGGAGTTGGCCAGAAACGCTGATTCCGAACCAACCATGAAGAGGCGTACGAACCACACCCACACCTTTTCGGTTGTGGCAGTGGTCACCGGGTGTATTGGGCACCTTAGACGTTTGACTCCGTCCGAAGGGCGAATGATCCGATGAACTGGACACCGGCCCCTAATGGACTGTGGTTTTCACACACCGCCCCGCTGCCTTGCGCGTCAGGCTTTGGCTAGCCGAAGGCTCCGGTTGTGAATTCCTCAAGAAAATTCACGTGCCTTGGCCTGGACAAGCTGGCAGTATTCAGCCCACAAGCCAATCATGGGCCATTTTTTCTTTTTTATAAAGATTATGGTACCATGATAAGTTTAGCACACAGTCTGTCCTCAGACAAGTGTGAAATATACTATAATGCTTATAAATGAACAGTCCCCTCATGATTATTGTCCGACACCACTCGAAATGTAAGCTGTCACGTGTATGTATTCATAAGAGGAACACGTACTTTTAGTGAAGGACCATAACCATAATTCACTAAAATCTGGGCAAGAATAAGTATTATATTTTATCAGTTTTCTGTGCTTTCTAAAACAAGTGCACGAAGCTTAGAGTGCTCCAAGATGATAATGGCGTTAATTCAATAATAAAACCCATGGCGCTCGATTCTTACCGTTTTCATTGCCATTCATTGAAATCCACTCTCGTGGGCCTACTTCACTCTTGATCTCAGTGTAATTTCAGCGATAATTGTAGTGAAGATCACACCCTGGACTTCTGTCTCTATCCTGTATACCAAAAGCATTTCTGTACGCATATCGCAAGTCAATCTTGTCGCCCACGTAAGCGGTTACCTCTAAGGATTGACGAATTGGTCGAAAGCATGATGAAGCTGATTGGTCGTTGTTCTACTGTGTGTGGATAACATGGATCAGTGTAAACAGCTATCTACCACCCCGGCAGGTGGCTGGCACGCTTCTGTTGTCCCCTTCTGGTTGATGGGAGGATGTTCCTTGCTACTGCTGCTGCTGATACCCAACACAGTTGAGATGATTGTTCATAGGGCTTCCACTCGGGAGAACAGAGCTTTATTCTACCAAGCGCGTCTCCAGTTCGCGAATAGGAAAGCGACTGTCATCTCGCGGCTAACCGTGAATAAGGNCCCCCCCCCCCCCCCCCCCGAATAAGCGTTATCTTAGGACCAGCGGCAGCGCTCGAGAATGTGGTGGGTTTACCTCCTGGCAGGGGTTTCCCGCTCAAAGCATCACACATATCTGTGGACAGCGCTGTGCCGTATCAGGTGTGGCCCGTCACTTAATATGGCAAAGTTTTGCAGAAGAGACGAATGAACCAAATATTAGCCACGGGCACATCGGGAATATCGCTGCTGCCTTGTAGTCCGCGCTTGATTGCGCAACGACTAGAGTGCACCCTCTGAATCGGACGGCCGAATAGTACAACAGTCCACAACTCATGCATCGATGAATTTCTCGAATCTTGCATCTCCCCGGTCTACAGTTTCTTTACTCAGCGATAAACATTCTGCATCGTACACGTACTCATGTCTCCCCAGCTCTCCCCCATTTCACCTTCACCTCCCTAACACACCACCTCTCTCGGGTTCTTCGCACGATCGTACTAACATTAGTGCCCTATGTGGAAACACTGCCGGTGTTCTCGTGTCCTACCTCGACTATCTTCCAAATCTCACCGAATCCTCCACCAACTGAAACCCTTCTTCATCCCCGATGCCCATTCAAACTAGTCACGTTTAATAGATGTACTCTGATGTCCAAGGGGCAACAGGCTTGCTTAGTTCGTGCGCCCGAGCCCCTCGTTAGCCATGTGTGTTGTATCCAAGAAACTCGCATTCAAGACTAGCTGCATTATCCGATTGACGTCCACATGAAACCGACATGCGAAGTTTCACTTACACCTCTCTGGGGCCCCTGAGGCTGTAGTTTTGGATTATATTGGCGTTGGCGCGGCCTTCGGTGCGAGAGCTGAGGCCGCGCTCTAGATTCGGTCCCAGTCGACAGTAAGTTGTGCGAAGAGACCAAGAGATTCATCTAAAGTAGGCAGCCGTCGCCCTGATTGAAGAAAGCTATTTGTTGTGTTGGCGTTCGTCCCGACCTCTTGCGTAAAGCGAACTGAGCTGATATCGTAATTTCAGCAGGCTATAAGCATGCTAGAGTAGACCAGCTGACTTCGAGTAAGGTGCATCTGTGAGGTCCATTCGGACTAGAGTCGCTCGGTAAACGGGAACCGCCTATTCCTCGCCAGTACGAACTTCAGATGATCTAACTGCTGTTACGCCATTTGGCGTCCGCCCTGTAGCCAGTGACGAACGCAAATCGATCACATCGCTGCAAGTCACAAACGGCGGGGTTGCATACAAGACTGCCGGTCGTACCGGAGCACTCCCCTTGAATCCGACCGCGCATTAGCTTGGGCCAAGCTATCAATGTGCATCGGTAGGCGTTCTAAACGCACGACACAACGACGGTTAGTTTTTGATAAGCGGTCTGAACCAGCTAGATTAATTGACTTTAAAAACTCGTTAGGTGAAAAGCTAGAACCAATCCCACCCGATGACATTCACCTGCAGTGGTTGCTTATCAAGAATTCTCTTTTTTTCTGCTGTCTTAATTAGTTGTGAGCTCACACGTCATGCCTCGATACCATGGATTTCTTCAGCTTTGGCTTCGGATGGTGCAGCCCGCTTACCAGGTTGGGAACCAATAGATGAGGATTGTCGTTGGTTAGAGACGCTAAGACATATGTTCCAGAATAAACGTCATTGGCTCGAATGCTCTACAGTCTGCCTGTTGAAATCCCGTGCCCCATGAAAAATAACCATTAACTAGAACACACGAGAATCAAACGTGTACGATAAAACGGTATATATATATATATATATATATATATATATAAATGGCTTCCCAACGGGTTCATTTTCGGTCTTATTGGTCCTGTGTGTAACAATTTTCATTCCCACATAAATCACAGAGTGCCTAGAAGCTTATATTAATTCAGTCTTTATAACTTCATCCTTTTAATGGAGATTTTTTATCCGAACTACTAACGGAGACAGTTAACCTGAAACCTCTGATTTCCAAAGCAGTTGTGTGCGAATTCTACTTGAGAACAGAATCGCAACATCCTTATGTGGCTCGAAAGGCTAAACACTGTCTCAAGTTTATGATTGGGAGTGTTGACTGCTACT